TGAGTGTTTGATAAACTGTAATTATAGTAGCTGTGTTGGTTTTAAAATCAGTGTAATAGCGTTTGGTAAATTTTGATATTAAATTGCTGTGGGTATGTAAAATGATCAAAATAGACATAGTATGAAACTTAAAATATATATAATTATTTTTGGTATTTATAAATATTTATTTAACTTAAAAAAAACATAATGCTATGATTTTGAGTTTTTTAACAATAAATTTATGATAATTAATTCTTTTTTTTTATTTCTTCATTCACAATATAATTACAACTAAAACAATTCGTTGTTATCTCTATTGGCACGCCATTAAATTCTAGATCTGGAAGCTGTATAATATTGATGCTCATACGACATATAATTTTTAAAACATAATTAAAATATCTACTCACAGTCTCACCAGAGTGTTGAAATCATTTTTGTGCTGAACGATTTCCCGCACCCTGACGCAAAATGAATAAAAACATTCCAAAAATGCCACATTTTTTTTCTTTTGAGGTCTGTGACACTTCGGCGTTCAAAATTTCATAAAAATAATGCAATTGTCAAGTCTTCAATTTAGATAGAAAAAACTTTGAAGCACTAAAGCAAAGTTCTAATCCTAGAAATGTTATAAAAAGAAATTTAATGACTGAAATGTAACGATCTCTAAAATTGATGAGTACAAGTAAATTAACCAATTCTTTTTAGTTTTTTTACTTCACTTTCTCAGAAGCCAAACAATACTAAATAAAAATACGAATTCATACATTACGTGTATGTGATCGAGAACTGATCTCGCGGAGTTGAGAGAAATTCTGCACTCCACAGAAGGACCTCCGCAAACAACGCCAACTCTTAACACTTCGCCTCTCTCTTTCTCTTTCCCTTCCCCTTCTCTCTCAGCCATCACCACCTCCGCCACGGAGGCACGTGGAGCTCTGACACCACCGGCGAAGCCCGTTGCCGTCGAGAGCGAGAACTTAGCAGTGCTGCTTGAGTCGCGCGGTCTCAGTCCCAATCTCGGGGAACGAGTGGCAGCGGAGACGTCATTTTGGTCGCCTCAAAGCACGGCGAGGGCCGAACCGGATGCAATCGACACCATGGGAATGAGAGCTTTGGTTTATGAGAAGAGAGACTGAGCTTAGAGATGACAATGAGATAGTTTGGGAATTAATGAAATTTTTATTAAATGCAATGGTAGATTCTCGCACAATATAGAATCAAAGACAGTCTTTGGGCTGCTTCTGATTTTGAGCCCAAATTTCACACAAATTGTTTAAAAAGTATTTTTTGAGTCTTTTACCGAACACAAAAAATAACTTTAGCTAGATAGAAAATTCATTTTGGGCTCCTAAAATCTCTACCCAACTAAGTCATAGGTCTCGTTCACTTTGCGGATTTGAGTTTTCAATTCGAGCTGAGATGTGACATTTTTTTAGAGCTTTTTACTGAAGCAGAAAAAGTTAAATGTGACATTTTTTAAGAGTTTTTTTACTGTAAAAATTTAAAATTGAAAACTCAAATCGGTGAAAGACGATAGTCTTGTGGATTTGCCTCCCGAGAATTTTTGCAACTTCTCTCCACAAATGCTTGAAAGGTAGAATCGCAATTTCTAGTTATTAGACAACCAAACGCTCCCTTGTCCGTGAGGTATTCTGATGGTGATTTATGACGCCATGCCTACGAATCTTCGCCAAAAACGCAACTAAATCTTCATTCAATCAACAGAAAACATCCCCAAATTCCAGCCAAAAGAATGGAACTAGCATCCTTGATTCCGACCTCAAAATTCTCCATAGGAAATCTAAGAACTCAAACTAGAACCCAAATCATCACTTCATCAGCCATCCCAAGATCCCAACATTCACGTCTGTACTCACTACCTAATTCCGACAGCATTGAAGCCAGGACGCCAAGCATGTCCGAGATATTGGAGACCTCAAGGGCTCAGAAACTAGACCTTGAGCTGCAAACTCTAGGACCCTTTTTCAGAATCACAGCCAAAAGCTTGGAAACCAAAAATGAGATTGGGAGAGCCGAAGGAATCATTAGGGTGTGGCTGGGAGGGACAATTCTTCACTTGGACTCCATTAGATTGCAGAGAGAGGCACTTGGAATGGAAAAATCAATCTTCGGCATTGGTTTGTTCATTGGAGGCGTCGCCGTTCGGTACGGCTATGATTGTGGTTGCAGGACGGCTGAGCTTATGGCAATCAATGATTCTGATCTCTACCATCAAAAGGTTCTTCTTCTTCTTATTTTTTTTATTTTTTGTATTTTTTAGGCTAATATAAAGTCGGTCCCACAACGTGTGCCACCGAGATTTTCCACATTTGTTATTGCTGAAACCAGTAAAAACACTTTTTACGGATTTGAATTTTTAATTTGAATTAAGACGTATCATTTTAATTATAATAAAAAAAATTAAATGAGATACTTTTTAAAAATTTTTAATTATAAAAATTTAAAATTGAAAACTCAAATCGATAAGATAACGAGTATTTCGTTAAGTTGTCACGTTTGGTTTCGCAGCTTGTTAGGTTCTACAAAAGGATTGGTTTCAAGGTGGTGCATGAAGTAACTGGGTCAACATTTGGTGACCTTCCGCACATGTTGGTCTGGGGTGGTGTTGGGACACGAATGGTTGCTGATATCGAAGAGCTTATGGTAAAATGGTGCACCAGGTTCAAGTCTCGAGAGTGATCCGACCATATTCCATTACAACACAAATTTGCGGAGCATTGTAGGTGAGTTTTTTTCGCTTTGTTTTATTTTTTTTTTTATGAACTTGTGGAAATGCTTCCTGAGGATGTAAAGTCAATCTGTGTGTAGTTACTGCCTTGGTCTAGATATTGTTTTTGCCCCTCTTGATTTGGGCGTAGGTCTTCTACATGAGAATTCCTTCACTGTGCAATTCCATTGTTTTTTAATTATAGTTTCTAGCAAATGGGACATTTGGTGTCCTCTCATAGAACATTTGTATGGTTAAGATTTGATCGTAGTAACTTAAGAGGGCTCTTAGCAATACCCCATCATAATCATGACTCATTCTAGTTTATTATTGTCATTATTATTGTTATTATTATTATTATTATTTTCCTACTCTCGAAAAATCTAGGCACTTGAGCATTTGCGGATGGTAATTAAGGTGTCGTTTGGATAAGGTCTAAAACATAGCTGTTTACATTTAAAACAAAGGTGTCATGTGTCATTTTGATAGAATACTTGTGGATACATGGTAACAACAATGTTATACAGAAATAATAATCTGCTTGAATTGTTAAGACATACAGAAGAGCAATAAAAATGATTGAAAATAAACCAGAAAAGTTAGTTTCCTTATGAAACTACTTAATACAGTAATAATAGTTGAAGAGGATTCCTCTAACACACTTGGTTGTATGGACTTTAGTATTTAGAAACACACACTACTTGTGGAAAGAAGATGTGAAGCGTTAAGACATACAGTAGCAAAAAAATTGATCTAAAACCAGAAAAGTTAGGGTCCGTTCACTTCGTTGATTCGAGTTTATAATTCGAGTTGAGATGTGATTTTATGTGAGATTACTGTAGCACACTTGGTTGTATGGACTTTAGTATTTAGAAACACACACTACTTGTGGAAAGAAGATGTGAAGCGTTAAGACATACAGTAGCAAAAAAAATTGATCTAAAACCAGAAAAGTTAGTTTTCTTATGAAACTAAGTAAAAAAAGATTATAATACTACTATAGTAATAGTTAAGAGGATTCATCTTTGCCTCTTTGCTATCAAACGAATCTGAATCTTTGCCTTTTTGCGTTACAGACTTGAATTTAGAACAAGACCACGGAATTTCAATTTTTAGGCTTTAAAACAAGAGCCAAACCAAATCTAGGTCCGGAGGCCGCTACGACATCATATTCACCGGAGATTGATAAACATGCATTATCATGGATATCATGATGCAGGAGAGCCTTAAGTATCCCGCGGTTATTAAATCTGGCCTTCACAGCCGTCCGATCATCCTCGCCTCCCCATGATCCGCCAATTGTTGATCTCCCTCATCCTGTTCTGAGATTTAGAGTCATCTTTACTCCTGCAGAAATGTTCTTGGCTTCATCCAGATAATGAACATATGATGCCTCTAGCCAGTCACCCTTGTTGTAGGTATTAAACCTTTCTTTGGTACAACTTAACCTGTAAAAAGAAATTTAAAAGGATATGATAATGGTGCCTATAGCCGCATAGGGAAAGTGTTTGTAAGGACTTTTTTTTTTAAATAATAAATAAATTGTTTGTTTATCCAAGAAAAGAAAAGAAAAGGAATAGGAAGTGTTCCTTTTCCTCCTATTTATGTGTTTTACTTCTGAAATTAGGAATGCAGCTCTAATTCTCAATAGGTAAGCATACGCTTAAAATCAAACGCTTGATTCCCTTCGTTATGTATCTTCCTAAACTTTCATCTTTGAGAGGAAAATCTATAATAAATTAGTAAATGCACACGCAAGTTGTTAATGCAGTATGGATCAACCAAAATAGAGTAGTCAAAACCATGCTTAATTGAAACAAAAAACGTAAATTTTTGAAATATATATATAGGTATATGTACACACACACACGCATATACCTCAAAGTTAAGGAGGCATCGCAAGCGGACTTTGTAACTTGGATGCCTGCATCCCACACTGTGAAACAGTTTCCTTCAAATGTGTGGGAATGCCCTCGTTCCCTGCATGCCAAATGCAATGCTTGCTGACATACTAATTTCACGGCGGTCTCTGCGCATATCAGAGAAGTAAGTTACTGCAGCATTTCGATGGGGGGGACACCAAATTTTGAGCTGAAAAATACAGAGAAGCAAGTCAATTGGAATTGAAGATTACATATTTTGTGTAAAAAGAAAAAGCCAAAGAGAGAAGGTTATAATGAGTGATCATGTACAATAACATGTATAATTGCATCACAATTAGTCTTTTGACAAACGAGGACCGAAGAAAAGAAAGAAAGAATTGAGGATGGTACATTGGTAGCAAGCCCTTGCGGATGGCGGCAGAGACTCTCTAGCTTTAGCGACCCATATTGAAATTTCTCCCTGTAAATACAGAGTTGAAGATTTTTCTTTTTTTTTTGTAATATAATCTGAGATGTACCATGCAGTCTGAATTTTAGCCACTAGATGATGTAAAGAAAGGATTTCAACTAGTGAAGAAAATGTTCTCAGCCAAATTTCAATGGCTTAAAATCGTTTCTTTTCATCGTCCATGGATAAAAATTGAGCTGTGTGGTACTTGGGATATTCTGCAGCTTCTAACAAAAACTTTAGATTGTAAATCAAGAAGATCAAGCACTTACATCCTCCAAAAGAGGAAATGCAAATGCTCTTACTGTACGAAATTGAGCAGCAATACTGTTGTCCTTCTCATTGTACACTGCCCTGACAGCTGAAGCTGATCCAGTTGCATTCCCAAGGAAAGGTGATTTAAGGGTCTAGACTGAAAAAATTTGAAACATATTGCATTAGAGTGAAATAGTGTGGTACCATTAAGTAACCAAAAAGAAACTGTATTTTTATATGTTTGGAAAGAATTGTATAAGCCAGTTTTGGGGTTATAATACGTATATCATCTGCATATAATATATTAAGATCGTATAACCTACGACTAGTATTAGTACATTGATGTGATTGTTCTTATTTTTTGCACTTTTTAGAAAAAGAAAAAAAAAAAAGACCACAACATACCATGCCATTGGTAGTACAAGTTGTGATTTTGATGAGCTGCCTGTTTCGGCCAAGGTAGCCCTTTCTAAGCAAGTCTACAACAATGGAAATTAGTGAAATTAGCTTAAAGGAGAAATATTCATTAAAAAATAATTTACTTACAAACTTGAGAAAATTAAATAAAAAGCACTGAAATATATCAAAGAAAAATGGAAAGGCTTGAACTTAGAGTCGTTTTATTGCAGTCCTGTTACCAATCCTTCTTAAGGCCTAATTCTAGCGAGACAAAAGAAAAATCATATGATGTGATGTAATTTGCACGTCGGACATAACTTTTGTCTTGAGTTTCACTACGACATCCTTTCGATCTTTTCTTGTTTTGTTATTTTTACTAACCCAAGAATGGCAAGAAAATGTGATCAAGAAACACAAGAAAATAAATAAAGGAAAAAGAAGAAATGGAATTCTGATATTATGTATGATCAATCTTAAGCATACAAGAATAAAAGGGCAAACCTAAGAATATACATTTCCTCAAAAAAGCATATATACATCATGTTGAGATAGTCAACGATTTTGTAATTGATTTTATTACCTTGTATAAAAGATTGTATAACATATTGCCCCGTATACAGATCATAGAGATTGTATAGACAGATTTCTAGAGAGCTACTTAGGAATTCTAGTCCTATATATATACTCTGTATTTGATTAAAAAGCAACATAACAAAAATCAGTTTATCATTCTTATTTTCATGGTATCAGAGCCAACCACAGTTCTATAAACCCAAATTTATCCCATACGAAAAAAAGGGTCATTCAAGCCCAGAAAAATCATTCAGACACCCAAGCCAAACACACGAAAACCACCTCAAATTCCAAATCTCCAAAACCGTACTCAGACACTCAACCCAAATACCCATAGCCAGAAATCAATAGAATCGATCCGCGTCGTCATGCCCGTTCATCCTCAACCAAGCGCCGCCGCTGTTCGTCCTCATCACCGACGTCAATCCGTGCCACATCTGCCGCTGTCGCAGATCCGTGCCCGCGTCGCAGTGCTCGCCGATCCTCCGTCGCCGTGCTCATCCACTTGCCGTCGCTGTCATAGTGCTCGCCGATCCACCGTTGCCGTGCTCTTCCCTTGCCATCAGTTGTTAGTAGAGAGATAACCGGATACAAGAAGGCTTCTATCAATGCCGAAGTTAATTTCCGTCCGATATAAAAGCCTTTCTTCTCTTTGTAAGAACCTTTTTTCTGTCCTTGTTATCATATCTGTCGTTTATTAAGTCACATATTACATAAAAAAAAAACAAAGAAACAAAAAAAAAGGATGAGTGAACAAATTGAATCGTTAGGAACCAAATCTGTTACAGTTCTTGTTTAGTCTGAGGGTGCCTTTGATGTAGGCATTCTACTTACCGAAACAAATTACGATGTGTGGTCTCAATTGATGGAGATGCATATTACTGAATGAGAAAAACTATCCTACATCATGGGCAAAATCATCCTACATCATGGGCAAAATCACTCCACCTGCTGTGTCGGACAAAGGGATATGAAAAATGGTATGCTGAAAATCAGAAGGTGAAACGCTGACTTCTAATGTCCATGTCTCATTACATCATGAAGCGCATCTCCGTATACCCACTGCCCGTGAAATATGGAGTACCCTTTCCAAGCTTTTTATGATGGCAATGATGAGATGCATGTCTATTCTTTGCATCAGAAAGCCTTCTCAGCCAAACAAGGTGCCAAATCACTCTCAGTATACTATGGGGAGTTAACAGAAATCTTTTGAGAACTAGATCATCGTGATAAAGTGGTCATGAAGGATCCTGATGATGTTATTGCATACCAGCAGTCTATTGAGCGATTATGGGCTATATCGCATGCTGCTTTATTGTCACAGTATAGCTGAATTGGTTGCTTTGGGGGTATCTTAGGTCTTGTAAGAGAAATTTCAACCATAGCGCTTCACAAATTCCTAAGGCCATTCCTCTGTACTCAGCTTCTGCACTCAGCTTCTGCACTAGATCTTGCAACAACATTCTGTTTCTTGCTTCTCCATGTAACTAAGTTCCCACGTACAAAGGTAAAGTATCCTGAAGTTGACCGCTTATCGTCAATTGCTCCAACCCAATCAGCATCTGTATATACCTTGATAATTTTCTTGTTTGTGTTTTTAGAGAATAGAATTCCCTTTCCTGGAGCATATTTTAGATACCTCAAAATGCGTATGACTGCATTCATATGTTGCTCAGCGGGATTATGCATGAATTGACTAACAATACTCAGAGCATAAGCGAGATCTGGTCTTGTGTGAGCTAAGTACATCAATCTTCTAACAAGTCTCTGGTATCTCTCCTTGTCTACCGGTACCTGGCTTTTCTCAATACATAACTTCAGACCCTCTTCAACTAGAGTGTTAGTTGGTTGGCAGGCTGACATACCAGTTTCATATAGTAGATCTAAGGTATACTTTCTTTGAGATAGGAAGATTCATTTACTCGATCGAGATACTTTAATTCCCAGAAAGTATTTTAATGGGTCTAAGTCTTTCATTTCAAATTCCTTGGACAAGTACTCTTGCAAAGCTCTCATTTCTTCTGGATCGTTGCCTGTGATGATCATACAATGAGTGTAGTAATTTTACCATGTCGCTTCTTTAAAAATAATGTGTGATCTGAATTACTTTGTTTGTAACCAAAGGTTGTCATGAATTTGGTAAATCGTCCAAATCAAGCTCTAGGGGACTGTTTTAATCCATATAGTGGTTTCTTCAACCTGCACACCTTCTGATTTTGTCTTTTTGTTACCATGCACCCTGGTGGGAGAACCATGTAGACTTCTTTAGATAGTTCGCCATGTAGGAATGCGTTCTTCACATCAAACTGTTGTAACGGCCAATTAAAATTTACAGCTAAGGATAACAAGACCCGAACTGTGTTGATTTTGGCTACAGGTGCAAACGTTTCAGTCTAGTCAATTCCATAAGTTTGGGTGTATCCTTTTGCCACCAATCTCGCCTTAAAACGTTCGATCGTACCATCAACCTTGTATTTCACAGTAAAGATCCATCGACACCCAACTAGTTCTTTTTTCTATGGGACGGTTGACGAGCTCCCAAGTTTGGTTCTTTTGCAAGGAGGCCATCTCTTCATTCATCGCTGCTTTCCATCTTGGATCAATTAAGGCATCCTGCACACTGTTAGGTATATATACAGTAGATAATTGATTGACAAATGACTGATTTATTTTTGACAAGCGATGTGTAGACATATAATGGTTCATGAGATATCTTACTTTACTAGACAATTGAGGTTTGGGGAAATTCGGTGTTTAAATTACTAGGGTTAAGTTAGTCTTTTAGTTTCTAAAAATAAAGAGATTCAGATAATGACTTACTTGATCCTCTCATTTATTTTTCCTGTTTATTATCTTTACTAGGATTAGAGATATTGTTTTAGTTTATCAGTTCCTTGTTTTGAGGAATCGATTGGGGCATCTCCTCCTATTTAAACTTATTTTCGTTATTCATT